CACTTACAAAAGTATGCTTGGAGAGCGACTTCATACCTCAGAGATACTAAACATCTGATCCAGGAGTTGGAATCAATCGAATGGATGGATGGATATGTTTGGGCTACCTTAGATGTAACTTCCCTTTACACTGTTATCGACCATGATCTCGGTGTTGAGGCAGTCAGGAACAATCTAGAGAGTGACACCAACCTCACACCCACGTTTCGTTCTTTCTTAGAAGATGCTATTCGTTTTATTTTAACCCACAATTTTTTTATTTTTAATAAGGAATTTTTTCTTCAAATAAAGGGCACGGCGATGGGCACCAAGTTTGCACCTAGCTATGCCAACGTGTTTATGGACTATTGGGAGAGATTGTCGATTTGGTCCAACAACCCCCATGGTGCAAACTTGGTGCTCTGGAGGCGCTATATTGACAACATTTTGGTCATCTGGCGTGGCCCTTTAGATGAACTTGAAAATTTCTTTACGTATATTAATATTAATTCTTTATCTTTAGTGTTTACCCCTAAGGTGGGCATTTCGAATATAGATTTTCTTGATTTATCCATTTTTATTGAAAATGGAGCTATTAAGACCAAAACCTTTTTCAAGACTACTGATACGAACAGCTTTATTGACACTGCAAGTGGACACCATCCGAACTGGCTCAAGGGTGTTCCCAAGAGCCAGTTTATTAGGATGCGTAGAAACTGTAGTGATCTGGATCTGTTTTATTCGCAAGCAAACATTTTGAAAAGTCGGTTTCTAGAAAAAGGTTATTGTCCGGAACTTCTGGACGCTGAAATCAAAAGAGTGGGGAACATCAATAGAAATGACCTCTTAGTGGATAGAAATAAGACGGATATTAGAAACCCTATGTTCGATTTTTCTTTTAATACACAATATAGCTCCAGAGCTTTTGACATACAAAAGATCATTAGGAAACATTGGGGGTTGCTTATTGAAGATGATTATTTGAATACACAGATCCCTCAAATCCCTAAAATCATTTTTAGGAAGGGAGTGAATTTTAAACAAATTCTTGCACCTAGTACCTTTCGATCAGGGAATAAAACAGGTAAAACTAAAGAAGGTTTCCACACGTGTGGGAACTGTGTTAGTTGTAATCATCAATACAAAATTGTCACTAACTTTAGCAGCACACAAACTAAAAAGACATTTAAAATCAAAAGTCCAGTTTCCTGTTCCTCAACTCATATTGTATACCTCCTCACATGTGGATGTGGGTTGCAGTATGTAGGGAGGACTGGAAGAAAAGCTAAAATTAGATTTCAGGAGCATAGAAATAACATTAAAAAACATATGTTAACGCATTCAGTGCCAGTGCACTGTAATAAATGCCCTCTCTTTAACTTTAATACCCTCCAATTTATTATTATTGAACAGGTAGCTCTGGACAAGAGAGGTGGTGACCTTGGGTTATTGTTGAGGAAGAGAGAGGGTTACTGGATACATACCCTACAAACTATGCAGCCAAGGGGACTTAATGTAGATTTTGATTTGGTTTGTTTACTTTAAGGTGTGGGGTTCAAATAGTATTATTATTTATTATTTTTTATTATTATTATAATTTTTTGTTGATGTTTAATTAATGTTGATTTGATTTTTGGGTTGTTTCTTTAATTGGGTGAAGGTTGTGGTTAAGTGAGGGATTAGCAACGAGATCTCTATGATTGCCCAATACTTTGGATGTTTGTTTGATACGTTATAAGATGTCTTGTGTTTTTTTGTGATTTTCCCCGTTCTTATGGTGGAATGCAAATCACCGAATGGAACGCAAGCTTATGCGTCATCACGTCCGGTTTCATTTTGAAAGAGAGGCTTGAACCGCATTTCCGGGAATATGAACGTATCCGGAAGTACTTACAATGGTGAACCCGGAAGTCCGTTGCTGATAGGTTCGGCTATCTCGCTCGCCGAAATTGAAGAATTTGGGAGAGTTTAAAAGAAGATTCAGAATATGTGGACATCTATGGCTAGAAGGAGCTTTATTTGCCCCTGAGGAAGTTCAATTAGTTGAACGAAATGCGTAGGGCTATTTGCATTAGTGCAGAGTTTTATTTTATCGGTTTGTATTTATTTTCATTTGTTATTTTTTATTTTTAATGCTGTTCTTTCCGGTGCTTCATTCTACTGGGATCCTGTGATTGAACTAATCCTATGATGTGCCTGTTTTTTACTTTCATCTTGTAAGTGTGTTTTTACATTATAAGTACTTATTGTTATCAAGATACTCTGCACTATTATTATTTTCCTTTTCTCCTCCATATTTGCCACGATGTCCCGCGAATCTTGAGGTTTCTACTATATTGATGATATGCCTACAATTAATTTTGGTTTGTGAGTGCAATTAATATATTTACTCTTCACCTCAAAAACCATTGCAACATTATTGCACTATGTTTTTCTCTGTTATTATTGTATTGTACATAATAGTTAGAGGTATAATGAAGTATTTGCACCAAACTTGCAAGGAGGTTTTCAAGCGTCTGGGCTTGCAAATGCATGGATTGTCTCTGTGCTCTACCTCCATGGCTTGCGGTTGCGACCGATGTCACTCAGCCCACCCCACTTGCGGGCCATGTTAATGGTATCTTCGCGCGGCTTCTGTGAATGTTTATGTCCCAGTGGGTGTCTTGGGAGGCTGTCGTGGTGGTGACGGGCCCGCTCAGAGCCTCCAGCCCTCACTTTCCTGTCTCCTGAATTAAGCTCTGCAATGCAACGTGGATTGTTTTTTTAATTCGTTTCTCCTTAGTGCCATCAGCATCCCACCGTCATGCTTCTTCAGTTTTTGGTGGCATCACCTGCCGTTAAAATACTAAATAATGCCTGTGGAATATTCTGGATTATTCCATAGATAATCTTGTGTTTGTGCAATAAGCCACCATATGCATTGGTTGAACATTGTGTGAGATGATGCTTGTCCCTTTTAGCCATCATAAGTAATAACTGACGAGAAATGGCAGAATAAGGAAATGGAAATGGAAGCTCTACCAAAAGATTGAGTCTTACATGAAACAATTCACTTTATCTCATGTATCCTTCCCATTTTGTTGGCATTTCAAAAAAAATTCCAACACAGTAAACAATACATTATTGCAAAGAATCCCTGTTTTTGAAAAGCTCAAAAGTAACAGTGCACTTTGAAAGTAGATTTATGGGAATGCTTTTTGTGATTTGCACTTTTGTTTAAATGAGCATGTATTAAGTTATAAATAATATGATTTTTATTCCACCACGATCACAGTTACAAAATATTAAGGAAAAGGCAGCCAACTTGTTTTTAACAGACATTAGAAGAGGCAACTTTTATAATAACACTGAAATGGGGTGCTGCTCTTTTTTGACAAAAATGGCAAGAAGAGTACCTTGTAATGTTGTTGTCAAACTGCTTAACCCCTTAGCGACCCAGGACGGTTCAGGACCGTCATCGGCATTTTTGCCTTGAGGACCGATGACGTTTCCTGAACCGTCCTAACGGTTTCCGTTACTTACCTGATCGCCGTCGTTCCCCCGGCGGCGATCAGCGTTGCTCCGGTTGTGGGGAGACTGCCTGCAGCCCAGACAGTCTCCCCACACTGAATTAGGACCCCCTGTGGCCATGTGATCGCTTAACACAGCGATCACATGGTCACAATAGGTGTCCTAGTGTCTGTGCTGACAGGCAGTCTCCCTGCTAGTGTAAAATCAGAAAATAAAATAAAGTTAATGTTAATTAAAAAAATAATAATAATTATATATGTGTATATATGATATATAGACATATATTATATCTATATAATATATGTCTATATATCATATATATATAATGCCATACTAAGTGTATTTGTATATTAATATGTACTTATATTAATATAAAAATACACTTATAATTAAATTACACACGTATATATATAATAACTATATATATTGTATATATATATATTATAAAATATAAATAAGTAATTTAAATTAAATAAATTTTTAAAATAATAATAAAAAAATAAAAAAAATTATATCTATATGAAATTTTATTCTAACTGTATTTTAAAATTAATATATATATATTTATATCAAAATACACTTAGAATGAATTTGTATATATATCTATGTATATAAAAATAAATAAAAATAATAAGAAATATACATATGTCCATATACAAAATTACATAAATAATTATATAAATATACACGTAGACTTCAGATATATAAATATGCATATATATTTAAATTCTACGTGCGTATTTATGTAATAGTTTTACATAATTCAGTAATTTTATTGATTGCAATTTAAGGGACCTGCCTGCCAACCCAGGCCGAAATTCCAGAGAATTGAATTTGCTAGCACTGTATTTTACCCTGTAACGTTCTACGACACCCTAAAACCTGTACATGGGGGGTACTGTTTTACTCGGGAGACTTCGCTGAACACAAATATTAGTGATTCAAAACAGTAAAACATATCACAGCGATGATATTGTCAGTGAAAGTGACTTTTTTTGCATTTTTCACACACAAACAGCACTTTTACTGATGATATAATTGTTGTGATACGTTTTCCAGTTTTTAAACACTAATATTTGTGTTCAGCAAAGTCTCCTGAGTAAAACAGTACCCCCCATGTACAGGTTTTATAGTATTTTTGAAAGTTACAAGGTCAAATATATGGGTCAAATATTTTTACATTGAAAATGGCCAGGTTGGTTACGTTGCCTTTGAGAGCGTATGGTAGCCCAGGAATGAGAATTACCCCCATGATGGCATACCATTTGCAAAAGAAGACAACCCAAGGTATTGCAAATGGGGTATGTCCAGTCTTTTTTAGTAACCACTTGGTCACAAACACTGGCTAAAATTAGCGTTCAATTTAGTTTTTTTACTTTTTTCACACACAAACAAATATGAATGCTTACTTTGGCCAGTGTTTTCGACTAAGTGGCTACTAAAAAAGACTGGACATACCCCATATTGAATACCCTGGGTTGTCTACTTTAAAAAAAATATGTACATGTGGGGTGTTATTCAGAGATTTATGACAGATAATAGTGTTACAATGTCACTATTGATAAATTTAAAAAATTTATGTTTTGAAACCGCAATATTCTACTTGTACCTATAGCCCTATAACATGCAAAAAAAAAAGCAAAAAAGCATGTAAACACGGGGTATTTTTAAACTCAGGACAAAATTTTGAATCTATTTAGCAGTTTTTTTAATTCGCTTTTGTAGATGAGTAAAAGATTTTTCAAGTAAAAGTCAAAAAACATGTATTTTTTTCAATTTTTCATCATATTTTTTTATTTTTTTTAAATTAAAATACATGAGATTATATAAATAATGGTATGTAAAGAAAGCCCCTTTTGTCCTGAAAAAAACAATATATAATTTGTATGGGAACAGTAAATGAGAGAGCGGAAAATTCCAGCCAAACACAAACACCACAAAAGTGTAAAAATATGCCTGGTCGCAAATGTACAACATCGCAAAAACAGTCCAGTCCTTAAGGGGTTAAATTGTTTATTAGAAATAACAGAAACAGGTGAGACACGTATCTTTCCTGCTTTGCTTGTGTTATTTCTTTTGCATAAATATTGTGTATTCATGTTATGCTTCTGTGCTTTTGGTAGGTATTAATATCTAACTTCACAGATTTATGCACTTCATCTTTATTTGTTTATTACCGATCTTGCATGAGGCACTAAAAGCCTAGCCTCACGGCCTTACTGTGTCAAATTGTGTGTATCATAAAATCCCTCTTCATGGGGGGACTATGTGTATTTTAAATATTGGCTGGAAGCTGTTAAAAAAGAGATAAACTTAAGTTAAAATAACTAAATAGTAATGATGCTTTTGGTATCTATGGTGAAATTATTATAATATAATCTAGACCTCTGTTTTAAATAAAACTACTGGTATTGGGTAACATCACAAGGAATATAGAGGCAACCAATCCAACCAAAGAACTTGCAAAAAACATCATAAACCTTTATTAAAAAAAATATATATATTTATTAAGCCACCTTCCTACATTATATGCCCACTATGTATCTTGAAGAAGAAAGCCTTACTATGTTAGTATTGTAGTTGTGGGACATATACTGCATTTCATAACTTTTGCCAAGGATGGCTTTGGGGATGAAGCCTGGATGTGGAACTCTTCAGCCACTCTACAGGTTGTTCAAAGCAGCTGCCTGATATAAAAAGAAAGATAAACTAGTATAGGCTACTAAGTGAGAGGGATTGTGCCCCCCAAGTAACTGTCCAGAGGGGTGCTGGGGGACAGAGCATTGCTGCACATTTCCATATTAGGTAGGCAGCATGGTTGTATTCCAACTGAACACCTGGCTGTGCAGCAGGCACTTATTTCTGGGTATTTTCCTTAAAATCCCAGAGAGCATCAGCAGCACTCTGCTCATGGGTAGAGAGCAGCGGACATAGAGGTCATGAGAAATTCCAACCCGTTGGGTAGTGTATTAGTTATCATGTTCTGGTTTGGGCTCAAGCGACAGGTGTTCCTGAAACTTAACAACAACCCATTATGCATATGTACTTTGTATTACAGGGCAAGCTCCAGATGTGGGTTGACATTTTCCCAAAGAAGCTTGGACTCCCTGGTCCACCCTGTGACATTTCTCCGAGAGTTCCTAAGCCGTGAGTTTTCATGTTGACTTTCTTAAATATTAGATTTAGGCTATCATTGGTACTTATTCTATGATGTGTAAATGTGCATGCTAGTATAGTAAATGTTCCAACTGGTACAATTAGTATGTTTCCTCTATTGTAGGTATGTGCTGCGTTGCATTGTTTGGAATGTGAAAGATGCGGATCTTCTCGACACCAATATTTTCAATGAAAAGATGAGCGATATTTACATAAAAGGGTAAAGTGCTAAAATCAAGCAGTGCTTTGACTTGTGATATACATCTCTACATCTTACACACCACCAGAGAGACTGACAGTAGTATCTGTAAGCTTTGAAAGTATTCATTATGATGATCTATTATGTAGTCACACATGTAGTGGATATACAATTGGCCAGGGCCGTCTTTAACACGGGGCAAACGGGGCAGCTGCCCCGGGCCCAGTTGCTCCTGGGGGCCCAGAGCAGCTGCTCTGTGGGCCCCGCGATTTGCGCAGCCCCTATGGACCGGGCGGTGCGGCTCCCGCACACTGAGGAGGCTCCCCGGGTGGCCCATGCACTAAGGGCCACCCGGGGAGCATGTGTCAGCAGGGGCCCGGTCGGGCGCTGTGGCGCTTAAACAGCGCGACCGGGCCCCTCTTCCGGTTCTGCAGCCGGCTGGGAGGAAGTGACGTCACTTCCTCCCACCGGAGATATGGCCGCGCGGAAGGAGGAAGGCAGGGAGGAGGGGAGTTCCAGAGGAGAACTCCCATCTGCCTCAGCCTGCCACTGGACCAGGGAAACCACCCTCCAGGAAAAGGTAAGAACCTGGGGGGTGGCTAAATGTATGTCAGTAGGTCTGTGTGTGTGTGTCAGTGTGTGTGTGTGTCAGTATGTCTGTGTGTGTGTCAGTATGTCTGTGTGTATGCCAGTATGTCTGTGTGTATGTGTGTGTGTGTGTGTGTCAGTATGTCTGTGTGTATGCCAGTATGTCTGTGTGTGTGTATGTAGGTATGTCTCTGTGTGTGTGTGTACGTGTGTGTCAGTATGTCTGCCAGGATATATTTGTGTGTCAGTGTATGTGTGTGTCAGTATGTATCTGTGAATGTTTTAATGTCTGTCTGTGTGTATGTGCCAGTACGTCTGTCTGTGTGTATGTCAGTATGTCTGTGTGTGTGTGTCAGCATGTCTTTGTGTATCAGTATGTCTGTGTGTGTATGTAAGTATGTCTGTGTGTGTATGTGTGTGTCAGTCAGTATGTCTGTCAGTGTATGTGTGTGTCAGTCAGTATGTCTGTCAGTGTATGTATGTATGTCTGTGTGTGTGTGTGTGTGTGTGTCAGTATGTCTGCCAGGATATATTTGTATGTCAGTGTATGTGTGTGTCAGTATATATCTGTGAATGTTTTAATGTCTGTCTGTACCAGCCATTACGTCTGTCTGTGTATATGTCAGTATGCCTCTGTGTGTTTGTGTCAGTGTGTATGTCAGTATGCCTGTGTGTGTGTGTCAGTGTGTATGTCAGTATGCCTGTGTGTGTGTGTCAGTGTGTATGTCAGTGTATGTGTCTGTGTGTTTTAGTATATCTGTCAGTGTATGTGTTTGTGTGTGTGTCAGTATATCTGTTAATGTATGTGTCTGTGTATGTATGTATGTATGTATGTCTGTGTGTGTGTCAGTATGTCTGCCAGTATATATTTGTGTGTAGTGACTTGTGTGTGTCAGTATGTATCTGTGAATGTTTTAATGTCTGTCTGTGTGTGTATGTGCCAGTACGTCTGTCAGTGTGATTGCGGGTTGGACGTAATTGGGGGGTGAGGCAGTGGCAGGGACAGGGCCCATGGGGCCCAAGAAAATGCATTGCCCAGGGTCCTAATCATATTATAGACGACCCTGCAATTGGCCATTAGTATTACCACAAATACATACTCCTTACAGGATCATGCTTGGAACCTACCAGAAATGCATTACTGTAGATGAATGTGTGCTGTGTGACTTGAAAGGCAGCACCTCACCTTATTCACCTTTACTACTAGCAGATGGGAATTTGGGAATTATTTATAAAGAACACAAGGAAAAGCTAAAATGTGGAGATATTAGCAAGTATTATTCTGCTTTTTCATTTGTTTCCCACAAATTTGTCATGAATATCATATCTTTTTTTTTAATGGAGCACTATAGGGTCAGGAACACAAACATATATTCCTGACCCTATAGGGTTAAAACCACCATCTAGCCCCCTTGCCTCCCTCATGCCTCCCTAAATATAGTAAAATCTTACTTGTATTCAAGCCTGAAGCTGCAGGTTTTGTCCCTATTTGCTTTTGACCTGCGCACTGCCTGCTGTCATCAGCAGAAGTGGTAGCCTGATCCAATCTCAATGCTTCCCCAAAGGATTGGCTGAGACTGACAAAGAGGCAAATCAGGAGCAGAGCCAGCACAATTCCAACACAGCCATGGCCAATCAGCATCTCCTCATAGAGATGAATTGAATCAATGAATCTCTATGAGGAAAGTTCAGTGTCTGCGTGCAGAGGGAGGAGATACTGAATGTTTGGATGCATTTTAGGCAGCCATGACCCAGGAAGGATCTCTAACAGCCATCCAAGAAGTGGCCAGTGAAGTTATCACTAGGCTGTAATGTAAACACTGCATTTTCTCTGAAAAAACAGTGTTTACAGCAAAAAGCCAGAAGGTAACGATTCTACTCACCAGAACAAATTCAATAAGCTGTAGTTGTTCTGGTGACTATAGTGTCCCTTTCATGTATCCAGTTCCAGCACCCAACATTCAATCTGTGATAATCTTGCAAAAGGTAATATGCTTCTTTCTGTAGGTGGATGGAGGGAATGGAATCAGAACAGCAGCGTACAGACATTTACTATCGCTCACTAGATGGCAGTGGAACCTTCAACTGGAGATTTATTTTCCACTTTCAATACTTGGATATAGAGCAGATGTGTGTGATCAAAAATAAGGTAGAGATTGAAAGAATGGTTAAAATCTGTGGAATAAGTTTCTTAGTGAAGGAGAATTACAGAAATAATGATACCTTGCTCATGACAGAGCATTTATCAGAGGCATTTAGAAACTGAGAATTAGATAGATAGAATGACATGTTGCCGATGCAGAGAATGAGTGTATGTAAATCATCTTGTATTTCTATATTGACCTAGGATCACCTATGGAGCGCGGAGAAAAGAGTGACTCTAATTCCTCCAAAGCTTGTCATCCAACTTTGGGACAATGATACATTTTCCTTTGATGATTTTATAGGTAATATGAAAGCATGGTTTTCTAGCCTAGAAAGGGCTTGAAAGCAAAAGGCTGCTTATATGGAATGATAAGCCTGTTTGTTTCTGTTCAGGTGTGCTTGAGTTGAATTTGGTCCACATTCCAAGCCCGAAGAAACACCCAGGGGATTGCACCCTGAGATCACCAAATGACATAAACAGATGCTGGAGGTTCCTTTATTTTTTTGCCAAAAACATATATCACCCAGTGTTCTTCTCACTTTTCCGTCAGAAATCTGTAAAAGGCTGGTGGCCTTGCATTAAACAGTGCAATGGCAAATCTCAACTCACGGTAAGGGAGGAGAAAGGTTCTATAATGTTTTTGTATCCAAGTGACCCTTACTACAAAGTTTTATACACCCTTATGTTTTAAAAAAAAAAAAAAACAGGTACTTTTTTTTCTTCTTTTTTTTTTCTTCTTTATTTTTGGTATGCAGGTAGTTACAACAGTGCCTGTGTCGCCACAACAGCAATAGCAGGCTCGATTTTTTTTTTTTTTTTTGATAACAGTATTGTGGCAAGTTGGAGATGCATACATTTTTTTAAAAGTGAAAAAGGTAACGATACAGCAGATGAACTATTAACGATATGGTTTAAGCTAAATCAGTGCGACTAGCCTGAGGCATTGTGTGTGATCGGCAAGCTTATATACCTAAAGAAAGCATTAAAGTAACCATGGTCCTAGACTCTAAGCAGTTGTAACATTGCAGTTTCAGCTGTACAAATACACTGATATTATAGTCATATTTGGTCAGGGCTTGAGTTTCTTAAGTTTAAATACACTACGCTTTTGGGGCTCGGGTCTCCCTATATATATTTGCTATCAAAATGCCATAACTCCAAGTCAGCAGGTGTGTTTATTAGCGCCAGTTGCGCTGATTATATGAATTGTGCTAGTCGTTGGAATGTATGCCTCTGTAGTGTTTTACATATTACTAAACAATGAAATAAACAGATAAACAAGCTGGAACGTGAATGCATCTGGACAATTTGCATGGAACATGGTATTTGCTGGTATGGACAGTTCTGCTGTGTAGGTTAGACTACATGCTATGTGTGATATGAGGGTGATTACTGCTGGTCATTTAGGTAAACTATATAGAGTATTAGATCATTTTAACGATTTTAACGGTAACTAGCATTTATGATTTTGAGTATACTGTTAGCAGCTGGCAACTGGTCAACGGGAAGCTGTGGTTCCTCACCCGACGCCGCTGGTGTGCTTCAGGTGGCAGTCCAGCGCGTAGGCTCGTGACAGGCAACGACCCTTCTGTTGCTCGCCTTGTAGTTTGCTCCAGGTTGGGATGAGGGTTGAGGCCTCGCCGTTCCAGCGGTCGATGTGGCCGCTCGCAGTAGACCGCTCTGACCATACCGTGACCTGCAGGCTGCAGTGCTCGAAGGTTGCTGGCGCTGCTGAGTGGTAAGTGAGTTGAGTTTGTCTGGCAGTCCCTCTCAGTTGTGTGCGAGGGTGAGTGATGGTGCTTGAGGAGTTTGCCTTCGTTCCCCGCTCTCCGGGTCCCCGGCGCCGTCTTTGTCTGGAGGCTGCTCTAGGGGCACGGTGTGAGTGTCTGCACAGGCGGCGTCGGGTGGCAGGGCGGACCCATGCCGCCATCTCCTTCACCATTAGTTGGAATAACTGTCCCCTGGTGCGGTATTGTGTCCATAGGTTGGTGCAGAGCCGGTGAAAAAATTCTGGACATGTTTAGGTGGCTTTGTAAGGGTGCTTTGTGTACCAGGTCTCGTTCGGGCCGCCATCTTGCTTGGGCCCTGACAGGCTTGGTTGACCGCTGGTTTAGTCGCTGTTTTAAGCCGAGTGGCGGGGGTATTCGTCCCCAGCGAGGACCGGGATATCCCCCACCGGTCCAGAGGGGGGTGGGGGGGTAGCAGGGCAGTGTCTGTTTCTTGTTTGCAGTCGGGGCCCGTGCCGGGGGATCGGCCGCCTCCCCCATGCTTCAGGCTCTGCATCTGTTTAGGCCGCGTGGCCGGTTCGGATGCTGGGGTTGCCTGTCGATGCTTGTCTGGCATCAATACGTTCCCCGTGTTGTTCTGCCTCGTTCTCTGGGCTCCTTGTGTAGCTGGCTGTATTTGATTGTACAAAATCCTTGTTTCTGTGCCCACTGGTGTAGGAGCTCTCAGAGGGTATGTCCGGCCATCTTGGCTGTCAGGCCCCGCCCCCCCCCCACTGTTTTCTATACATATATAAAATGAATGATACTGTCACCACACACACACATTGAGAAAAGCTGTGGTGCAAATAAAGCAAATTGCAATATGAATGGCTTATGATTATGTGCTGTGAAACTATTTTGATGTTTCTTAGGATATGTTTTCAGCCATTAAGCCCTGGCACTGTGGGAATTGAGTTAAAAGATTATGCCAAGCTGTGAAGGAATGCCCCATCACTTGGTTCGGTAATATTTGTTTTTCCTCTCTTCATTTGCTCATTCGAAACTCCCCTAGTTCAGTTCCCGAACGAAGACCACCCAAACATCTAATTAGAAAGTGGAATACAAAGTATCCAGGGCGAAACGTCAATGGAAACTATTACTAAAAGGCTCCCCTGGGTGGCTTACATTTTGTGTAACTAAACCCACGTGGTCGACAGAATGGATGGCGCCCTTCTTGTCTCCCGAATGCAGGCAGCGGTACCTGGTCGTCGAGTGTCTGGAACTTATTTCGGCTAGGCACTCCCGCGAACACCGGTAAATATGGAACTGCTCCCTGTTCAAGTTCCCGACTACCTATACGAACGGCGTTCTGGAGATATAAGCTACCAAATGGCGGAGCATTCGACACTTAAAAGCGTTCGGATATTGTGTATAGCTTTCGTACAAAAACCCTCAAACTCTCATGAGCAATTCACGGACTCGGAGCTATGCACAGTGGG